CTACACGCCACTCAGCGCATCCGTCAACGACGAAACGAGCCGTTGTACGCAATATGTTTCGAACTGCTGTAAGCGTATGCAGGAGTGATCAAGAACGACTTGAGTATAAAAGGTTGGCTACACGAATTGCGCGTAGTAATGGATACTCACCACAAGGTTTCCGCTGCGCTTCGAAGCTTACAAACGGTAGCCACAGCCACGATAACAACAAAGTACCCTTGTGCATGCCTTTTATTTCCGATAAATTCAGTGCAGCAATAAAACAATGCCTAGCGCGAGCACAACTGCAAAATGATGTCATACTTGTGAACATTCCGAACGTGAACATCAAAAAGCAGTTGGTAAGGAACAGACTCTACGACGCAGAATGTCTGTCAAAGCACTGTATTGTCTGTCCATCTGGAAAACCAAGCGATTGCGCAAAGGCAGGAATAGTGTATGAATCAAATGCTTGAAGTGTAAGGCGACATATATAGGAGAAACGGGTAGATTGCTGAACGTCAGACTTGAGGAACATCTGGCGGCTAAAAGACGAGCAAATGCGTTATCACCGTCAGGAAGACATAGAATTGAGACGCACAATGGCGATGAATTTGAGGTTAAATGCACTATCTTGTCATACGAGACAGAGGTTACAGTAAGAAAGACCGTCAAGGCAGCGTGGATTTCTCTCAGAAATCCTAGCATAAATAAAAGAAATGAATGCGTGTCGATAACAACCGAACTCTTGCCTATCATAACGATCTGTGAGCGATAGTCTGCACATATATAAGTGACGATCATAGGACAGCACTCAATGTTGTCTGTCTCTTCGGTGCGGCTAAGTACTGACTCTACTGACTCTCACTAACACTACGGTGGATAAAGGTTCGTTTTCTGATCAACATGTCTCAGTACGCTGAGTGCGGGACGAGGTCTAGACTCGGCAGTGCGGAGAGGCGTTTGGCGGTCTGGTTTCGCAGATATAACGCTGTAATCTACTTTCAGGCCTCCAACGAAGACGAAATTGTCGAAACGTAAGGCCAATAAAAATTCCACCGTACAAACCTGGCACTGGCATAATATCATATAACAAAGCGTATTTTTAAATTTGCTTCTAGGAGCTGAGTACAAATTCAATCACCGTACCTGCTGAGGCATTAAAAAAAGTTATGTGTGTTTGATATTCAAATATGGCAAACATTTAGTGCCACGACTTCAAGAATTAGCTGTTTGAAAGCCCTTATATAGATTTCTGGTGAGTGTGCAGCGTCCTTCTAGTCACAAGACCAACAATTTGCCACCAAGCTGAATTTTGAATGCATTGGCGTTCTACTGCACATTATGCATTAGAACGCTACTGACTCCAAATTTCTGACCGTTTATAAGTTCTGCTGGTGAACACTCAGCAGGTCAAGTAGGCAGGTTTGAATTCGTTCCAAAGGCGAATCTAATGAGATGCCTTTTATTCCAATTCGTATTGAGACTTGGTGTATTTTCGTTGTCAGCTCGGACATTTATTCAAATACTCAAAAAACGGACCAAATTAAACCACCCAATTATAAGTATCCGGATTCAGTTACGTTAAAATTCGTATATTCAACCTCGATTACTTGACAAAAACGAATTAACCTTTGTTCCCTCAAGTATTCTAGAAATCGATTATTAACATTCGTTCGTGCGAATAATCTTCAAAAATCAAATTTCGATATTCATCCATTTAACAAACATTTCCTTTTAACTATGCTGCATAATAACCTCATATTCCAGCCCAAAAGTCTAAAAGCAAGCGTGGTAGTGCAACTGCGTTTGCTAATGATTTTCTGGTTACAGGCGGCTCTAGATGCGAAGGACATTTATCGATTTCTCAATATAATGATTACGAAGCACTTTAATTACACGGAATCACGAAAAAATGTGAACTAAGCATATTAAATCCGTCATCATCAGAGTATTACGAAATTTTTTGAATTAGTATTAGCGAAAATTGATGATTTACGCTCAGCGCATTCTTCAAGGCATGTCTGGCAGTTTGGAAGATATAGCGGTGATCCTTTAGAACAGAATCTTTCACATTTTAACTCACACTGCAAAGGCGATTTTAGCACTCAACGTATCAAACTCGCTAGAGTTAGACTTACTCGTCGGTCTACGCCATATGTATACATTGCGGCTGTCCGATTTACTTCGAGTACATTCACTTTCCCAAAAAGCCCATCTAGATGATCTCGACGACGTACTTTAGCAGCGCACACATTCACTAAGGCCAAAATGAAAAACAATTTGCAGGACATTGTTCTCTGAAACTTAACGTACAATATAATCTGCAGTCAAACTCGAGAATGCTTGCTACAAATCAGGTTTTCCTGAACCGATAAACTCAATTGAATTTAAAAATTCCTAACGGTGCGAACACGCCTTCTTTCTTCAACTTTTCAAGCTTAATCCATCAAGAATCCTAGCTTTGGCCCTCTTTTTGTGGTTGATTTGTGTTCGCACTCACTTTCGCCCATAAAGTTCAGTAGCATTTGTACCCTGATTTAATAATTGAAAAAACATTCTTATTCCTCCCCTTCCCCAGAATGCTCGAACCAGGTCTCTTGCTCATGGTCTCGAAACATCACTGCTCATGTGCAAAGTACAAAGTGAGAAAAGAAAGCAGCAGAAGATTTCGATTGGCTTTAATCCACTGAAGTCTACAACGACGCGCACTAATGAGATAGAACCGTGTGGTATAGATGTGTGCTTCGAACGCTCAAATAGCACGTCCAAAACTTTACGATATAGTATCGTATCAGGGAGAAGTATGACATCTGCAGGCCTTACCTAAGGTAGTAATTACGAGGAGCTGTGAATGTGAATGCCCACACCGTTGTTTTGCCCTGGTTTATAAACCTTTTACTAGGTAAACTACATGTAGGGCCAACCGACAGAAGGCAAGCAAATCGCTGGCAAACATGTCATTACAGCTGCATGGTCTTGTAACGAAGTATTCTGCTAACAAGTATAGAAAGATGCGAAAATATGACGGTGCCCATCTATTGGTAAAAGTTCAATTAATGTCCAGTTCGATAGTAAAGTTAGTAGTACCATGAATTTTTCCGTACCAATCCAGGCAAAGTGACTGAGTTGTTCCGATACTCTGAATGGGGTCCCGCAGTCAAATGCTCAGATAAACGCCGGGGGCACTCAGACACTCGCTGTTGACTCGCGCAGCCCAAAGTTTTGTGTAAGCGCTGAATGAAGGCGCGACACAAGTAATCGGCCTCGCGAGGAAATCCCGAGACAGCATTATGTGTCGGAACAATGCTGCCCGAGACAACACTTTGACGCGACCCGCATCTTGCAGGAAATACGCGGCAGCTCGAGGGCGACACATCCTGTTGTCCGGACGCAAATGGAGCGCGTTATCTCGCAGTAGTAATTTCGCTTTATCCCTACTTGCTGTACATTACATATATGTATATATTATATGTGTATGTATAAATATATTAGGTCGTTCCGAAAGTTCTTTCCGTTTTTTCATCATATCATAAAAACACTTGGAACGAAGAAAGAGAAATGCTTCAGGCAATGTCCGACGCAACTTTTCTTCCTCTTTTCAACTAACATATTCCTGTGCCGCTCGCTCTTGTGGTCAGTGAGATAATGGTCGAAATTTCGAACCTATGGTTTTTACCATGTCCAATTTTGGCAATTTTTCACTATCTTCTTTTTTGACTTTTGGAAAAGCTTTGATAGCAATCGGATAGAGTAAACAAAGTGCAATGCAATGCAATTTTTTGGCAATTTCAGCTGGCTTCTCATTATTTTTTGAGATAACTTTTTCAGAAGTCTTCACTTTTTCAGAGTCACAAAACACACAAACGCTCTGAACATCAACAAATCCTCGATTTTCGAAAAAAGTCGTTTATGATTGTACACTATTTTTACAAAGTAACTGAGCGTTTACCGCTTCGAAATATAAGATTTCGCATTTCACGGGCACATCATGAGGCGGGTTCAAAATCAAGATTTATGAAGATTTTATCGCCAAAAACTCCACAAACTAAGAAGAAAAAGCACTCATCAGAAAGATGAGAAAAAGCTGCATCGAATGACACCTCAGTTGTGCGCCGTTTTATGTTCTATGGCTTCTGGCATCCCCAAAAGTGGAATTCGATAGCATCAGAAAAATAATTCTAGAAATGTTTTGAGGCTAGCTATAGAAGACGAAAAATTGCATGATATTGCACTTTGTTTACTCTATCCGATTGCTATCAAAGCTTTTCCAAAAGTCGAAAAAGAAGATAGTGAAAAATTGCCAAAGTTGGACATGGTAAAAACCATGGGTCCGAAATTTCGGCCATTATCTCACTGAGCACAAGAGCGAGCGGCACAAGACTATGATAGATGAAAAGAGGAAGAAAAGTTGCGTCGGACAGTGCCTGAAGCGTTTCCCTTTCTTCGTTTCACGTGTTTTTATGATATGATGAAAAAACGGAAAGAACTTTCGGAACGACCTAATACATTATATATATGTATATATATATGTACACGCATGTATATGAATTCTACAAAGTCTTAACCAATTTATTACTTCTAAAATGGCATAAGGATACTTCGGGGAAGTCAAACTACTATGCTTACTATCTTAAAGCTTCACGATATGGAGATACATGATGAGATAGAAGTGTACTTAGTAACCGTCTAAACAATGAGAATCTCGGATTGCAAATAAGTGATACGCAAAAGCGGGAGTAGAGTCAAGGCAAATGATATGATAGTGATATGTAAGTACAGCAAATTAGAAAGAATTAGTAGCAGATGGGCTAAAACTTGGCGGGGATGGTCTTTTCTATTTCCTTGACGCAGGTGCAAGGTGTATACTTTAAGAAAGGAGAATGAGCCCTATGTCCAAAAGAAATTCATCAGACACTTCATAAAATTGAGAAACGGAAATTTGAAAAGCGCTTGACGTAGTCTGACAGCTCCTTCTTGTCAAGAATACGGAGCACCTCTGCAATGCAGAACAAAAGCTATTAAGATTTGTGTGGTAATCCACTCACTTCCTTTTTTCTCCTCGTCTCCTTTTGCTGCAGCACTGTCAGCCCATTTCCTTCTCCGCAGGGCAAGGAAGCAACCTAAAGAAAAGATAGCTTACATCACAGCAAGACTGGTTTGGCGTGAATGTGGCGTGCCACACCCCACAGCATCGACAACATCGACGACACCGACAACCTATGGCCGTTCCCACAGGTAGCATGTTGCAACAGCAACAACATGTTAACAACAATGCGTCGGTTGGCAGTTTTGCGTATGTGACATAGGTGGCATAGATGAGCTGTCGTGGAATGGGCGATTTACTATACACCCCCCTCAATTTCTTCTTAAAACAAGCAATACGGTCCTATGTCGTGCATCGAAAATGGTAAGTTCAAATGAGAGTGACTCAAAAAAAACCAAAACAAATCAAAATTTACGAAAAGAATGGCAATGAAAACATACTATTTACCTCAATGATGCAAACGTCTGGCCTTTCCAATGTGCCATCAACGGGAATCCTGGCCACTTGCTCAACCCACTGGATTACTGCATCCGTAAAATGTGGAATTGAGTGCACCGTCTCTCCGCAGTAGTCGCCAAGTCGCTCACGATCAGTAACCTGTAATTTGAGTTTTTCTTCATAATAGCCTGATATGTTTCAGCATGTAAGTTAAGAACCAGTGAAGAAAATAGGCAACAAAATAAAGCCAAAACTTACATGCTGAAACATATTAGGCTATTATGGACAAAAACTCAAATTCCACAATCCCACTATCACGGAGATAGTCGAGCTTTGATTTCTAGAGAAGAAGCTTCAAAATTGGATTTCAAATAAAGTTAATGTTGGATTGGAATGAAATTAATGGGAATAAGAGGGCTTAGGTGGGATGGATGGAATGCACGAATTTGGAAATAGGTAGCAAAAAACCTGGAATGATGCAACATGAGCTGAGATTTGAAATGCGCGTCGATATTGCGAAACTGCTCGCTGAGTCACTCATCATCTCCCGATTTCCTTTCGCGAACAAACGCAAAAGCTGTCAAAATATTGTCTCGCGCATGTCTACGCCCTTTCCCGCGAATCCCTCAAAAAGGGGCGGATCTCCGGCGCGAGTCAGCAGCGAGTGTCTGAGCAGGCGGACCGCAAACTCGCGTTTTTCTGCAGATGGTCAGAGGAATTTCGGGGCGTGGTTAAGCCTTCTGCGAACGGTACTTCTTTCACTGTCGCACGTTCTGCCAGCGGGCAGCAATACAAAAATTTCTTCGAAAAAAAAATTTCTCTTCATACATTATCTCAGCGACCACTGGCCAAACCTTCAGCGAGCGCCGGCCTTTTTACATAGTACTGAGCGTACGCCAAGCAAAGGTAAAACTCTATATGGCCGAGGTGCCATCGATGGTTCAATTACCTCGAGTTTGAGGAACTTTCTTTCAGCAGAAGGTACCTACGGGCTGTGCGGTCCGTCACGAAGGATTCTGCAAATTCTCGCGGAACCGCGAGAATGCGAACGTTGCTATAGTCGTCCTCCCCCCACTAGACACCTAGTGGAGGAATTTGAATTTGAATCAGAGCATACCGGTTGCAGCGGAGCGCGCCACTTGCAGCTTTTACTTCAATTTTTCCGACGTTTCATTGTACTTTTCGAATGTTAACTGTTTTTTTTCAATCAGAATGGAAAACTTTGTTGTCTGTAAGCGAAATTTCATGCTGTTATGCTCGTTTCAATTCTGACTCCAGGTTGAGTTTGAAGAAACGACTATTTGGAAAGTATGCTAGTGAAATTCTTTTTGGTAAGTGTCCTGAAGTGCTGCTCCATAGGACTTCTTGTCCAAAAACTCTAAGCTTGCCTGAAAGTGGGGCTGAAGAAATGAGCATAGAAGTATGAAACATTTGATCAACAACAAACTCGTCGATTGTGATTTGAAAGGGTGACTAAAACCAAAAAGAATCACCATGCAACGACGAGGAAACACAAAATAATACTCCATGAGCTTGAAATGAATGTAACTGTGCCGCGCTCTGCCGCGATCGGCATGCTCTAGCTCAAATTCAAACTCGTCCACTAGGTGTCTAGTGGGAAGAGGACGATTATAATTTAAAAAAAAGCCGATTGTTTCCTAAGCGTTGGTCCAGAAAATGGCCAAATTTCTTTCAATTATCTGCAAGCGGTCCGGAAGAAATCAGCGAACTATTCTTCCGACGCCCCCTTGCCTACAAATCACATGGCCGCCTACCCACGGCTATTCTTTGAGGGTACTTGTTAAAAACCGCATTTTGGACTGTTTGAGGAAAAAATATACAGAACTAGCTGGAAACCAAGCTCCGCCTGTATCCTATCAATAACATTTTCGTAATCAGCATGCTCATTTATCGATCAGTACCGTACATAGCCTATGGCACCCGCCCCGAAGTGTTTGTGTGCCGAGTTTGGTCCGGATCACGTGCACACGAAAAGACAGACATACATACAGAAAGAAGACAAACATACATTTAGCTTCATTTATACAGATGAAGTTTAACGCTTTTGAAAATTACAAGGCGGAATCACCTCAACTCTGCTTTGAAATGATGACTCAATCAGGAAAAAAACAGAACATGATAAAGCTTTACAACACGGTTAAGAACATATCCAAAGTACTATGCTTATGCTTTCATTACATCATATGAAGCTATTTTTGTTGTCGACTCAAAGATTATGCAAACACAATGACCTACGAATTTCCACAAAACAATCACAAATTATGGAGGAGAAATATTCCACATGCGTTGAAAGTCTACTTTATACGTTTATGTTTGCAACTACTTCTTTCTATGCATTTTCCTTGATCGCGCACATAGTCAGCGATACACTGACACGCTGGTGTCTGGCAAACGTCGAGACAAGGCTGAAAAGTTACTGTTTGCAGCTTTATAGCAAAAAAAAGTCTCACCACAATTGGCCCACATGTCGGCTCACATGAGGCGCACGTTCTGAATTCTTCATTCTGGCCACAGTCTGAAAGTGCTATTTTTAAAAATTATTCTTCTAATCAGCTTAAGCGTTTACCAAAAAAATCAATTTTTGAATTAGTTCAGATTAGACATACTGAGCATCTTAGTCACAGTAAAGTAGTGCATGAAGATAGACCATAAAAATTAGCACAGCCTTGATGCAAACACTTGATTACAGTTGAGCTCCTAACTCTTGGGAGAAAAACGGATTGCGATAAATTTTTCCGTCGCTGCGATTTTATTATGAAAAAACCGTCGGATTGCTATAACTTCTTTTGAAGCAGATTTTTGAAGAAACTGAAGACAATACTGGATTGCTACGAATCTGGCGGTTTGGAATTTAGGTCCAATTTTCGGAAACACTTTTGTTTGACCTACCGCGACGTATTTGTCGCGACAAAACTGCTAAATCGCTTGACAGTAAGTTTCACAGATCTTAAATTACATTTTTGAATTTCTGGCAAATTTCTGACTTGGGAGCTGCTTCGAATTAACGGAATCATATCTAATGCACCAAAAATAGAAGAAAATTTGCGCCTTCACGGCAGTAACCTTTGAGAACAAAGTCCCCCGAAAACGACAAAACAAATTTTATGGCTGGGATCAATCATAAAAAATACTGGGTCGTTGTTGAATTTTAAAAAATGTAGGTGAAAGTTTTTTGATAAAAGTATTCTCTACATTACTGATCAGGCTTGAATATCGCGTGAAAGTAGAGAAACAGAACATTTGTGAAATTGCTATTACTGAACTTACTTACTAATTACTGTATTACTGCGAAAAAATATTCCCCTTTATGGTGCATTTTCTTTGCAAAATTGAAGTTTGATTCTAGAAAATCAACCCACTGCTTAATAGTGCAACCCTTTCCAAATACTAAATTATGTTCTTGCACTGCATTTTTACGAATTGAAACCTGCTACAGTACTACAGTGCTACGAACTACTGAAATGAAAAATGTATTTAAAGAATTTTTGGGGGCGAGCAAGCAGCACTCTAACATTAAGAAAAGTATAGTTGACCATTTAGTAAAAAGAAATGTCATAAATTTTGCTCAGCATACGTCTTTGTTGAGTTTTGTTCTTGTTCTGTTATTTATGTTGTTTTTCTCACCTGTTTTTCTTGCCCCTGGGGGCAGCCCCTACGTAGCAATTAATCAAAAAATAAAAACAATTTGAAGCCAAACTCAATTTCAGAAACTTAAAACGCTGTTTTGGAAGCTCTAAATTGCAATATTAGGCAATGAGTTTCAGTCATTAAATCCACTTTTTGGATGTAGGATTACAAAGTTTTCGCCACTAAATCCACTTTTTGGATGTAATGGATTACACTACTGAAATTTATATGACTTACGCAAGAGGTCTTGCGCCAACGCAATATTTTTGTATAGTAGATTTTAACACTCAACACGCCAGCGGTACCTGTACACTACTACATCTGGGTAAAGAGACACTGAAGTGTGCCATGAAATACTTATAAATCTCTTGTAGAGAGATTTATGCTCCAACTAAGGCAACGTGTGTTTACTGCACAGTATACTTGGGTCCGAATCGAATAGAAATTCGATCATTCGAATAAAACATTCGAATATATTCGTATTCGAAATTCGATATTCGGAGTTCTTCCATTTTCGAATAATATTCGAAACTCGAATAATCAAAAAACAGGGTTTCGAATAAAATCCGAAAACTCGAATAATCAAAAAACGAGGTTTCGAATATTATTCGAAAACTCGAATAGTCAAAAAACGGGGTTTCGAATAGATTTTATTCGAATGTTTTATTCGAATGTTTATTCGAATTCGTATTTGTTGTGTTAATGTCTGATCAGTTGTTTTCTCCTATGATCTGCCCTCGCTGAGGCGCCTGCGACCTCAATGCGCGGGAAATGAGCGCTATAAAAGGCGCTCGCTGTTAGCTATTGTCAGTTCGTCTGTTCACTCCTCGCCTCTTTTTATTTACTGTTCTCTATATTTATTTCTAATAAATATCCTTTGTTCCTCGCGTGCTACCTCAGGACGAAGATTCGACGTGTCCGACGCGGAGGACACAACAGTGGCGATCAGGATAGCGGCTACTAGCGAAGAAGTAGCCGCAACGAAGAAACACGCGCCAGGAAGAAGTCGACGAAGAAGCTGAGAAAAGCTTAACGAATTGATCGATCGACATGGCGAAAGTAGACGTCCAGGAGATGATGATCGTCTTCAAGGAGATGATCAAAGAAGAAAGAAAGGAGATGATGGAGATGTTCCTGAAACACATCGGAGGCACGAAGCAGAGCAGTTCGACGGAGATTCCGAATATGATGTCCGCATTGAGCAATCGGATCGAAAAATTTTACTTCGACCCCGAAGCGGACATGTGCTTCAGCAAATGGTACGCCCGCTACAAGGAGGTCTTCGTCGAAGATGCGAAGCAGCTCACAGAGAGTGCCAGGGTGAGGCTGCTCTGCGAAAAATTGGATAAGGACAGTTTCGAAAAATACCAGAGGCATGTGTTACCAAGGGAGGTAACTTCGATTAAATTCGAAGAAACCGTCGAAACATTAAAGCAGCTGTTCGACGTGAAGATTTCGGAATTCACTATGCGGTACCAGTGTCTGAAACTGGAGAAGGCAGATTCCGAAGA